TGTTGTTGCTCCAGCTCTTGATTCTTCCAGCCTTCCAAGTACCCTCAATGATATTCGCTGTGTACCTGTGCTAATGAGAAGAAAAGTTATCGAATTGGTAAGAATGGGAATATTTTGATATATTTTCCTTGAAAATATAGGCAGATCCAATTTTGAAATATAGGCAGATCCACAATCCAATTGTGACTACACAAACATTGGTTATTCAGGTCCTTTTATGTCAGAAAGTCCCCAAGAAAGCTAATTCCCTGGGAAAAGTTGAAGTTTAAACATATTTGGAAGGCAGCAAGCTGTGAAAGATTATTCTGTGTGTCCTCCACTTCCATTTTTTTGTCCTAATCCGTGTGTTTTATTTCATTTATCTCTATTTGTTTACTTGGGAAAGTTCTCCTTTTCGTTCATTTGTTCAATCATTCATTCATACCCTGTCAAATACAAATAACTCAAGGCAGTGAACATATCCAACACAACTTCTTCCTATTTTCCCCACAACAACAGGCTGAAAACCAGAAAGCATGGGCACCTGAAGATTATCAGGAGCCATCCTGGAATGTGAACCAAGCTGACCAGTATCTCAATGTCTCTGAATGTTACAAAGACTCAGTAAGTTGATTCTGGTCATAATGAAAATAATTGTTAGTTTGGCGGGGGGGTGGGTGGACAACGACTAGGATATGAGTGAAGAGTGAATGAGGGTTATAGAGAGGAGGAGAAAAAGTTACTTCCAAGAAAAACAAAGTCCTGTTTTGACACTTTAAAGCATCTCCAACTTGGTTCCCCATAGATATAGCTATAAATATAACTCCTATAGTTCACATAGTCTGTTATTTGGAAAAATTAGAGGATGATCTCAGTATGTTTCAGAATAGAAAAAGAGAGAATTCTTACATTCTTAAACTTGAGGTATGGGTGGCGGGAGGGGAGAAACATAATGTGTCACAATTATATAGTAGAATTAGATAACGTAGCATTCAGAGGCCAGGATGCTGAGAGATTAACATTTTAGCCTAGAGTTTAGTATTAATGACATTTTGAATTTTTATGAGTGGTTCTGAATTTGAAATTGGAAAAAGATGGATTTCTCTTGATTTTTTTATTAGATGGTTTCATTCTCTTTTCAGGTGTCTACTTCTATTTCTTCTAATGGAAATCGTAATATTGAAAGCCTGGTAAAATCCAAGTCTTGTTCTCCAAGGATTCGTCACAGCATCAATTCCAAGCATTCTAGTACAAATCAGACCTCAAGAGACTTATGTTGTCAAAGTCCAAAATCCTACGTCAGGCAAGAGTGTAGCTCAAGATCTTTTGGCAAGCGAGAGCTGTCCACTGAAAGACAGGACAGAAGTTCAAAATTATCCTGTAGGCGAGAACGTAATTCAGGATCTTCCCACAAACAAGAAGTCTCTCCTCAAAGAAAAAAGCATACATCAAAATCTCCTTACAGTCAAGAACATTCTTCTCAGAAATGGGACCGTAACCCAAAAACCTCTCTCATGCAAGAACATAGTGTGAAATCAACGCACAAGCAAAAGCATAGTTCAAGTTCTCCTCCAAAAATGAAAGAAAATTCAAAATCTCAGAAGCTGGATAGGTACTTTGGATAGCTAATTGTGTGTATTTTTTAAGGAATCAGGCAAGTAAGAAAAAGTAGGGCCACACAGGTAGGACAAATTAAGAAAAGGACCATGAAAAAACAGAAATTATCATAATAAAAAGGAAATAATAGGTGGATATACTCAGCTCATAAAGAATGTTCTAATGGACATCAGACTGAGGTACAGACATTTCCACATAAGCACTAGCTTTGCCCTCAGACTTTTTTTCTTTCTTTTACTTCATTGCTGCATCTTCACTGCATTTTGACCTCTCAATTGAGCTATTAGTACTTCATTCAGGTGGCATATGTCTTTAACCAATGCATATGTACATTTTAATTTGTGAGAGTAAGACTTAATCTTACATTCTTAATCAGTACTTTGAATTTTAAGTGTGATATATTAGTTGAGTCAGATTCCTGACGTTGAATTGAGGCAGAAGGTTTCTGCCACTCAAGTGAGTCCTTGTCTCCCTTCAGGTGGAAAGAGAAAAAGTCTGGAAGAAGTTGTTGCTGCCATTGTAATTACCATTGTCAACAGAGCTGCAGTCCATCCCGAGAGAGTTTGTGGCATAGATGTTGCTCTCCTTCTTACTTAACTTGCAAAATAGAACACCTCAATGTTTCCAAAGGTAACAATAGCAAATTCCTGAGGATTTATGTCAGAAATAGCTCAGAATGTGACCTATTCTGTTCTTCAAAGGACTGAGTTTTAGTACCTTTAGGATAGTTACTTAACAAATTATTGCGACTTAGCTTTTTCTCTTAAGCTTCAACCAGAGGTTATAATTGAATGCGTTTTTCTGGATAATGTGATTTCCAGAAGGAAAACTATGGTGGAGCTTAGTATTCACTTAATGGAAGTGGCCAATAAGATGCCTATGGGAAGCCCAAAAATTATCAAGCAAACCGAAAGGCATGTGCCATGAGTTTATTGAAGTGCCTTTCAATGTTGGCAGGAATAACTATATCTTGTAATGAATTCAATAGATTGAGTAAACTTTTTATACTTCCTTCCATGAGAATATGATTATATTTTGGAAAAGAATGTTTCCTAAATTAAGAACAAAGCTAATAGTTGGGCCCTCTTGAATATCTTTTTGGATAGAGATTTCCAAAATTATTTGGAAGGATATACAATTTAATTTAATTTAACTTATACCATGCCTTTATAATTTTTATAAATAACTCAAGGTGGTGAATATATCCAACACAACTTCCTCCTCTTATTTTCCCCACAACAACAACCCTGTGAGTTGAGTTGGGCTGAGAGAGAATGACTGACCCAAAGTCACCCAACTGACTTTCATGGCTAAGGTGGGATTTGAATTCACAGTCTCCTGTTTTCTAGCCCAGTGCCTTAACCATTAGACCAACCTAGTTCTATACCAGTATATTATTATTATTATTATTATTATTATTATTATTATTATTATTATTA